CTGCCCCTCCTTTCCACTCCAAACACCATGTGCCTGAATCTAACCCAGCCATAATCTGCTAGTGCCACATCACTCCTCACACAAGAGAAGCTTTCCCACCCAACCAACCGCATTGGACAATCATGATGGCAGATGCCAAATAAAGAAATCGGAACACATTGAACGTCTCACAGTACATTGAGTCCGCTAGGCAGTCCCATAACCACTGTCATAAAATCCATACAACATCTCTCTCTCTCTCTCTCTCTCTCTCTCTCTCTCTCTCTCTCTCTCTCTCTCTCTCTCTCTCTCTCTCTCTCTCTCCCCCTGTGTGTGTGTGTGTGTGTGTGTGTGTGTGTGTGTGTGTGTGTGTGTATGTGTGTGTGTGTGTGTGTGTGTGTGTGTGTGTGTGTGTGAAGAAGACCCAATACATTGACAGGATCCAAACAGGATGTCTCTCTCTCTCTCTCTGGGCAGACCCAAGACGTTGACAGGATCCTCTCTCTCTCTCTCTCTCAAACACACACACACACACACCAGAAAAGAAAGACAAGCACACACACAAAAACAGAAACAGACAGGTATTATGTAAGGGTAGACGTATCTCCAGGGTTGTGAAGACACGTTCCACTTCTCTGTACTCCTACCTCAGCTGACCATAATGTGTCAACTGTGCAGCTGCAGATAACTACCACCAGTCTATCATTTCCTTCTGAAAGGTTTGGTTGGATGATTTGCAGGGATCTTCAGGTTCGTGACATTAAGTCATCGTGATCCCTCACAGCATATGGTATTCACCTCCAAGGATCGTGGAACAGCCACAACCCATCAAGCTGGGTTCGTGGACTCAGCCAACAGGTCATTGTAAAAAGTTCAAATCTAATCAGCAAACTGGTGGCACTTGTCTCAGAGGAAGGAAAACCCGGTTAACAGGCAGGACTATCATTGGGAAAACAGTGGAATGTCCGGCATCCCGACAAGCGGAAGCCTGCTTCAACCGTCTCTCACAACCATGCTTTCTGGGTCGACTATCTAGAGGGAAAGGCCACACCACCGACCATTGATGGACCCCTGACTAACAAGTCCCAAATCACCAACCAGTCAAACAAATTGGCACAGACTGGCTGGGAGCTACAGAAATAGAGGAATGACCTTGACGCAAAATGAAAACCCTGACCCCTCGTTTTCATCTTCTTCTCCTTCATCTTTTCGTCGATTGCACCTTCCCTGCCTCCCCACCAAATGCACTGCCACAGCACCTGCTTAGAATGCTCCTATCAAGTGCCTGCCAACTTACTTCTTCTCCTCTCCCTCTTCCTTTTTTGGCAGCAGCAATGTCATTGGCGGTGTCATCGTTGTTGTCCTCCGAGCTGAGAGATAGCTTTATTTACTGGAACAGCGACATGCATGAATGTGCGAGACAGAGAGAACAAAAAAGCCAGACACGGTATGCTCGCACATATGAGTGTGAGAAGACTTCACTCTGACAGTCACACATACCCTGTCACCTCATATTACATTTCTGAAAGAAGGTGTGAGGGCCTCGTCGGTGGGCCTAGTAAGTTTCGACCTCACACCTTGCCGGAAAAGGAAATGGCCCACTTCAATTTCCCCCCAAGAGATTTGCCTCTGCAATAGCCCTGGGGCATCTAAATCCAAACCAAGACCCTTCTCACTAACCCCAAGTATGGTTTACTCCTCTTGGGGCAGCGCACTTCAGCTTGTGCCACGTAATGGTGAGATGCAGGACCTTTTCGATTTAGTCCTGACCGTGCCCAACACCCATGCCATGTGTCGGTGGACTGTGCCACAATGTCTTGCAAAGATTATCCTATATCACCAACACACAGCAGCCAAAATTGCAGTGTTGTGGTAGGTAAGGACAACTCGCCAAAGAAATCATGCACTATAGTGAGGCGACTACCCGAAAGCTCCCAAGTCATGTGGTGGAAACACCACCACCTGCCAGTATAGGCATGAACTGTGGGAAAAATAATAGCAGATCAACACTGCTCAGTATGCCATGTACTCTGATGTGAAGCTGAGGGCAACCCATAGCCTCTGGTGAAGTCCACCCTACAAAGTAGCAGTCTACATAGGCTTAGCTGCAGAGGAACAAACGCGTACAGCAACAAAAAAGCCACGACCATGGGATCCCATTGGGGAAACAAAAGCACCACCACTACCCCCAAGCCTCCTTTTGCGAAGACAGGTTCTCCCTGCACACCATACTTTGCCAAAAAAACAGGGTGTGACTGCGGTGTTTTTTTTTTTTTTTTCTGGTTGGCGACATCAGCCAAACGCTGTCCTGTAGCACTGTTCATCCGAAGTCTTCGAAAATTAAATTTTCATTTTTTGACGTTGCCTTGGAAAGGTAGCGGTGGTCTACGATCGTACACATCGGCCTGCAGTTTCGCCAGATAGAGACGCATTGCTAATTAGGACCAAAGGTACCTATTTGTCGAACGCTGTCCTTTGCCCTGGGAAAGGTAGCGGTGGTTTAAGATCGTACAGATCGGCCGGCAGTTTTGTCAGGTAGCGGTGGTTTAAGAGCGTACAGATCGGCCAACAATTTTCAGAATCAGGCAGGCACCCACAGACAGGAGAAGTGTCAAAAGGGCCGTGGTATATTTCCCGCAAACTGGGGGGACAGGAGGGGAATGTCAAGACGGATCGCAATTGCTAGGCAGTGAAGGGGAGATTCGAGGAGGAGGTCATTAAGCTTCCGCTGCCAACGGGGGCTGAACTACAATTTTCATGTGCGGGAACCGTCCATGGGGATTGCACGGTGTGACGTACACCAGGAGGGAGAGAGTGTCCACCATTGTAACACCTGCTTCCACATTCGATCAGGACGGTTCCTACATAATCACAGGTCTTGGTTTACGTATACCAAGTCAACATCAGGTTTTCTGGCAGACGTCGCGGAACAGTGGATGAAGGGTGGCAACCGAGGACTCGTCAGGACATGGCAGGAAATATGCAAGCATGGTTGAATTATGATGGATTGGAACACAGCCAAAGCGAGGATACTTGGTGGTGACTCTATCGGCAGCCATTCAGTGTGAACTAAACCGGTAGCTGAGGCCAGAGATCCTCATTCCCTCTCTCACATGCGAGAATATCAAGAACATGGAAGAAAGCCGCAGTGCGAACCTATCTCACAACCACTCTCATAATGATAATAAATTGACCAACCATGAAGCACCTAAAGATATGGTCTGCACTGGAGGAAAAAAACAATTGTCAATGGAGAAGAGAAGATGGCAAACACGATTTATCATCAGCCACAGCCACGTGTTATGCGATGCATGTTCTGGCCACACTCACCCTCGAGCAACATACAAAACCTCTGTCAAAAGCAACTCCCTCCACCTCAAATACAATGTGGCTTTGTGTAGTTGCCTTAGCAACCAAGCCCTCCAGATTGCCCTATCGTAGCCTGAGATGTCCACCACCAACCACCTCACCATCTCCCATTGCCGTTGTCCACTTTCCACTCTCAAGCACCTCCATTGCCGAGGTGGTGCGACCGCAGATTACGGACACTGGAAATGAGGCAAAGTTGCAACTGCCTACAAAAGTTTTTGCTCTCATGGGTCATCGGTTCAACAGGTGACATGGTTTTCCTAAACTGTTTGGCTTCTTCTTCTGCCTTTTTGAACCACATGTTTAATTAATTGGACTGTAGAGGGGCTGGGGGGGTCATCCTCGTTGTTGCGTTTCCTCTTTTCCTGCCATTTAAGCAATCTGACTACACCACTGGAGGTTCCCTCAGGAATCTCTCTCCACCGGCCGTAAACGCTGCACAGGTTGTTACACAGGTTGTTACACAGGTGGTTGGACAGGTTGGGCATAGTAGCATGAGGCCCACCAAACTGCAGGGGGTCCTGGGAGCACGGCCTTACGGGACAACACACTGAGCAGCATAACCTCAGCGAGAAAGACCAACTAAACCAATATTGCCTCTGGGGTTACTGCTGGACCCTAAAGGTCAAACTTAAACCCACAGTAAACGACAGAGTGACCCTAAAGGTCAAACTTAAACCCACAGTGAACGACAATGTCAAAGACAAACTGTGTGACCCTCGGGAATCAGAAAGGGCGTCCAGCCTTCTGGCTTGGACATGCGGCAGACGATAAGCTACCCATACGCCAGCATCAGTCTGGCTCTCATGCCAGCACCACAGCATCTACAGAGCCAGCAAGAGCTACCATCACCTGCCCACATTGTCCATCAGCAACATTTGTACATCAGCTGCCGAGGCACAAAAAAATTGTACTCAAATACAAATGTGCACCTCATGCACACTGATGGAAGGAGCCGACGCACAAAAATGAGCCCAGCACCTTCTTTATCCAGTGCGGCTCAAATATTTGGACCTGGCTACATTGCCAATTCCATTTCCCTTCATCAAGTTTTTTTTCCCTCTATCATTCACAACTTATTACAGTTCCAGGCACAGAACCTTCTTTTCTTTTTTTCTTTAAGTTTTTTTTTGAAAAATTTGTAGCATGTTTCAATTCTATGTGTGGCATTGCTGTGCAGGGGACATGCTAATCTTCTCTGTATTGTTCCAATTTTAATGGATGTGCCAAAGGATCGGCACAGAACGTTCTCTAGATAGCTTAGCACAGACTAAAATGCAGCACGACCGAAGCATAAGCAGTCTCGGATCAGACGAGATGGAAGACCGCCAATTAACTCTACAATGTCTACATGGATGTACACAAGACATCAGTGTATTAATAGTCATGCTACCTTCTTCCCCCGAATACAATGTACAGTCATTATATAGGTGTATTTGTTGACTGAAAGATACCCCAAATGCAGCAGCTATAATGACCGTACATTGTATTCAGGGCAAGGTAGCAATATGCACATATAGCACTCAAGTTCATCGACACAATACAGCAAATTACATAAACTGAACACAGATTATCAACAAGATTAAAACAACAAAGTCAATTGCTTTTTTTTCCAAACATCAAAACGACCGCAGCAATGTGTACCATTCAACCTGCAGAATTGAGCATTCGTCCTCCAGCACTCTGATTCTCTCTTCCCATTGCTCCTTCAAGATAGCCATCTCCCCTTCCACGGCGATCTCTAGCTAGATTTCCACACGTAGAGAAGTGCAAACAAAAAGACAGCAAGCAGCAAGGTCCACCCACATAAAAATGTCATATATATGAGTTCATCCTAAACCCTGAGCCACAGAACCAGGAAGGGTACACGGTACTCTAAACAAATAAAAGGCGGGTACAAGAGCACATTTGGGAGTGCAAACTTCAAAGTCAACAAATGACAAGCCTTATCAGATGAAACGGCCTTCTGCTTAACAAGGTCCAAAATCCAACAAATGATAGGGTTCTTCAGATGAAATGGCCTGCTAAAACCACCAGTGCCTCCAAATCTCTTTTCCTGAACCCGGACGCTGCTGCACACCAAAAAACGCAAATCAATGCGGGTGCAAAATATTTTCTTTCTGCCTGGCACTGCCAGTCATTTCGGTCTGGAAGGCCGAACCCCTGCTAACGCGGCGGGCATTGGAGCAAAATAGTTGGGCAAGGGATTGGTGGTTTAAGAACAAAGGCAGGGAGCACTTTGGAAACGCAATAAACGAAGCATCAGTTCACACTGTTTACATCCGTACCCTTGCATACATCCACCCATGACTCCTGAATAAATCCCTCGGCAGATCATGCACACAGTGATACTCGCAGTTCGCTACCAGCACCTGGGAAAGCAGAAGTCACAACATGGAGAACCTACTAGGAAATCACTAAACAAAAAGGGAAGGAGGGAACACAGAGGTAAGTGGTGGGGAGGAAGGGCTACAGAATGGAATAAGAAGGGTTGCCAGAGCGTTTCAATGAAGTAGGGCATTGCGCAGTTGCCCAGTGGGAGCAAATCTATGTAACAGCCTGGCTTTAACGACTACCCCCTTTTCATCTTTCACCATGAACCCACCACAAAATATCACAACGAAAAACCGAAGACTGGATTTGCTATGCAGTTTCATTGGCGGGGATTTGGAGGAGCATACAAACTTCAGAGACAGTGCATCTTCCTTTGTACCTTTCCTTGGCCACAACATCTTTCGAAGTATGTGGTGGCAACCTTACGTCTCGAAGAGCAGACGCTTCGCGTCTGAATCCCACGAAGGCGCGAAAGAGCGTAAGAATTTGACTGTCTTTGCGGATACCACTAAATACACCGTGATTCTGTGCCTCTCTCTCTCTCTCTCTCACACACACACACACACACACACACACACACACACACACAAATGCCTTCTCCTTTCCCAGGAAAGGACGCTGTTGCAGTGCTTTTCTCATTTCCGATTCCCTTCTATTGCACTCGTTTCCGATTCCCTTGTGTTGCAAATATTTCTTGCCTTTCCATGGTCCCTTTCCAGTCTTGTTTTCACATTGCTTGCTATGTTACAGGCCACTGACAGCGCATTGAACACCACATAGCATGCAAGATTTCCAGTCTTGTTCCCACAATGATTGCTATAGACCACTGACAATGCATTGAAGTTTATTGAACACTACAGACCCTGCAAGATTCAGTGACACCGAAGGATGAATCATAAAACTGCTAAGCCTCGGATAAGATGGCAAAAAGACAAAATTCCGAAAACTGAAGGAGGAACCATAGAACTGCTAAGCGACTACACTGCAACAAGCTGCAAGAGACTGAGGTGGCCAAGAAATCCACTGCTACCGTCTTGGCCCAAAGAGACCATGCAGTCATTATCAATGTTCTAGACTGAAAGTTGCTCGAAATACAGCTATATGGACCATACATTCTTATTTCGGGCAAGACGGTGGAAGATTACCTGCAGGCAATGAAACCAAACAGACCTAGACTGCACTCTGTGAAAAGGGGCAAGGATTCAGCAGTTACCTCATCATCCGAGTACTGCTCGGAAAACTCCGCACGCACTTCCTCTCGCACACGTGCCATGGACTCCTCCTCCAGTTCTTCCTGAGCCTCTTGCAGCTGAGTATGCCCCACATTACCCAAATGCAATACACGGGTGAGAATCATTAAAAAAAACAGTATTTTTTGTTTCCGATCACAACAAATTTAATAAAAGGGCTAAACATATATTTATTATTTAATAATAGTACAGAAACAAATATCCACTATGCAAGAAGGGGCATATCCCAGACTGCAATCAGAAATGAACAGTTCTTGCAACCAGTCAAACACCCAATCAATTGCATTGAACTATTCTGGAACAAGTAAACTTTCAACCTGCAACATTGTGAATGTGACAAAGAGTCAAAGACAGCTTTAGCATCACATTTTCAGGAAAACGGCAGTCAGCGTACACCCGTGAACCATCACTCCCTTTCCAAGGCCTGCATCCAAGCCTGCAGAAATGATCATCGGCCAGGGAGAGGGGTTCGCTCACAAGTGTGTGACGTATAGTTCCCATCTCTAAGGAAAGACAAAAATTTGGATGCCCGTTTGGCGGAGGAGTCCAGTGGCGGATACAGATCTTACATTCACACCGTCACGTGGAGTCGTTTTTGGCTTTTGATGACTCAGTTGGGTGATTTCCTGGATGCGTGAGGCCAGGCAGAGCATGCGGCACGCTTCGCTCAGCATAACATGATGCCACACTGTCCATCGAAAACAGATAATGCAGTCTCCGAATGCCACGCAGGGAAGGAAGTCGACATATAACCGTAAAACCTCGCCATCGCTACGTAGCAATTTAAAACAGGCTACCCAATCAACAACTGCACTTCAAATCCACGACTGCCATGACCGCGTTCCTACCAACCTTCTATGCTCTCTCAAGAAGAAAGTTTGAAAAACAAACAGAATCCTTTTCAGCAGTCTCTCAGATACGTACACGGAATCATGGAGGCCTCAACCAAACCCTATTAGATAACCGACGAGTTCCTCACAGCCAGTCTTTCCTGGATCGGATTTTTACTGCGCACCAATAAACAAACATCCCAGCGCGCCAGCCATTCGCGTCCAGCAGATCGAGCCCCCGTTGACACGGTTGGGTTAACCGACGCGTTTGAACAAAATAGCTGGGAAAGGAACTGCGGTGGTGGTTAAGAGAATGCTGTACACAAACCAAGCCCACAGGTAGCAGAGTTCCAACTGATTCAGTAGAAGGGTCCCAACTGCATCGGTAGATGAGTCCCAACTGGTTTGGGAGAAGCATCCCAACTGGGTCAGCAGAGGAGTCCCAACAGCACCCCATATCATGCGATCTCAATAACAAATCGCTGATAACATCTGTTTGTATTACCAGTGTTGGAGTTTTCAAAGCTGCTTCGGTACTGTGGCCAAAGGGAACATTCCCTTCTCAAGCAACATACAGCTCTCAAGGACTTGGATGCCTTAACTTTACCATGGCTACGCCAGACCCATACCCGGACCCCACAGCTCATGTACGGGTACCGGATGCATGTCCGGTCAGGTCCGGACGTCCGAACATGCACGGTTCCGGAAAGTGTCATCCCGATAGCAGGTCGGGAAATGTTGCGACCATTAAAAAAAAAACAAATTGTTCTGCAGAATAACAATGCAAACAACTTTTGCCTCAGAAACATGTCAGAATTCCTAGCCAAACTCTACTTGAAAGTCAAAAACTATAAAAAACTTAAAAAAACTTTAAAAAGTAACGAATTATTAATAATTCATTACTTGGGTATTAGTAATAAATTATTCTAGATATAGACCATGTCCCGACTCCCCCCCAAAGAAACAAGAACGGGCCTGAAAAAAACCCAAAACAATTTTGGGGTGGGGAAGGGTCCTGGACCATTTTTGTTTTTCCATTTTACTTTATTTTTTTGGCAGATCCGGACCTTCCGGACCGGACGTCTGGAGTCCGGACTGAATCCAGACCATCTGGACGGCAGTCCGGACGTCCGGATCGTATCCATGGTAACTTTATACCCAGTTTCGTGTCCGGTTCGAGTCAGTTTTTTTTTTTTTTTTTTTTAATGGACTATTTCTTGATTTATGTGTGTAATCCTTGCCCAGGGGCCATGCTAATCTTCTCTGTATCATTCCAGTTGTATCGGATGTCCCGAAGGACCATTTCAAGTCACTTTCTTAAGTCACTTCAGTTATTCCGTTTGTCCTACCCATAAGCTTGACCGGTGTTGGCCAGTTTCGTTTCCAAGTCATGCTTCTTTAGTCTCAAGAAGTCGTAAAATTTAGTTTTGCCTTAGGTTACCAGCCATCAGTGGCATTTAACACTCTACTAATTTGATAACATGAAAGAGACATCATAACATGAAAAAGACATTTTGGCAAGAAGCTAGGGCAACCTAGATGAGAGATCCCGATTCCCAAACATCAAAGCAAGTGCCAATTTTTCCCCAAAGAATTGCGCACACTTTCAGAGGTCCAATGCCAAGAAAAGATATACTCTGACAGGGAGACCGAATGGGAAGAACGGTTTTTTTCACCACATTGTACTGCCATCTCTTTCCCCTAATAACCAAAAATAGGCTCTCCCGTCATCGCCGCCCACAATCCAGCAATCGGAGATGAACATCCCCAGTGTTTTTCATGGCCCGTATCAAACAACGCAATGGAACCAGGCGACCTCCCAATAGCAGCTCAGTCCACAGAAGGTGTCAGGACAGAGCGACTTGAAACCACCATTCCCGTCAGTGGTGGGCACAGACAGAAACGCGAGCGGTAAAACCCTGGTATGTCAGGTGGAAGCCTCCAAGTAAAACGCTCGCACCCCCTTCAATTGCATGCAAGTAGTGGGTGTGTAACACATAAGAACCCAGCATCCTGAAAATTCCTCGGTGACCATGCTAGAGGCCTCATATTCGAGGCCAACCCCCCTTGCAATCCCCTTCAATAATTGTGTGCAGGTAGTGGTGATATAATAGAAGCCTCCAGTATCCTGGCAACAAATTCAGGGCAACCCTCCCTTGGCTCAATCCCACATGTCCTCCCCCCCCCCCCCCCCCCCCCCAACTCCCCTTCTTGCATCCAACCACCCCCAAGGAGGGCCCCCGAAGTTACTCTGCAACAGGCTGCATGCACTTTCTAATCTGCCTGGTGTGTAGCCCACCTCCCAAGGAGGGCCCCCGAAGATACTCTGCAACAGGCTGCATGCACTTTCTAATCTGCCTGGTGTGTACCCCACCTCCCTGGAACCTAAAACGCTGACCCGAACCTCAAATCACGGGATGTCCAGTCCCAACCCTAACAACACAATGCACGCAAACCTCACAAGAAGTGACAAACCTGAATATGCCCAAAAAAAAGAACAGATTCAAGTCCTCAAAATATGAACACACAATGCACGCAAATCTCACAAGAAGTGACAAACCTGAATATGCCCAAAAAAAAGAACAGATTCAAGTCCTCAAAATATGAACAGCAAAGAACATGCAGGTTGATCACAGGGAAGAGAAACGAAGGCACGGAGAGGAGAACTGGTCATAAAAAACTTAAAAAAAGAGAAAAACGGCACGGAGAGGAAAACTGGAGGTAAAAACATAAAGTGAACGCCCGAAGCAGACCACATTCGGCTGTCCCTACCTCACTTTCCTTCTCGGCCAGCTCCACCAATAGCTGGTCGACATCCGCTTCCTCAAGCTGACCCTGCTTCCAAAAATAGACCACAGAATCGAGGCCAAGCAAAAACCCAAAACATAAAAATAAAAAACGTTATCTTCTAGAGGCAATACTTCCATAGGCGCACCAATCAAATAAACTTCACTCAATTGTATCAAGAAGTCGGATTTCCCCCCACAATTCCAAATTGGGTAATCCCTCTGTGTAATGACCACGTGTGAGGGCAATGAAACACGTGAAGGATCCATGCATAACACTCAATTCAGACATGTGAAATCTTAAGTTATTATTTTCTCCCATGTATAACGGTACTACCATCGCAAATTCTCTTTTTCTATCTATATTTTATTATTTTTCCTTCCACAACTTTTAGAGAAAGTTGTTTCTGAATTACTACTCTGATTTCTTCCCCCCCTCCCACAAAGAGACCAATCTCTCCCAAAAAGAGAGTTCTTTTAACTTTTTTCTTCTTTGTTTTTGATCTCCCGTAAACTAACCGTAGGAACTTCAACAATCCAAATAGAAGCAGGCAAGACACTAATCGAATGTTCCCTCTTGTGAATGTGTGAGAAACTCTCTCAATGAAGGTAAACAAAATCGGATAGCACTCTATAACATATAAATTGAAACTCGGTTAAGCTGCTGAGTCCCACTGACGATGACCACCAGAAGCTGCAGAAACATGCGGCCAACTGCTGCAGACAAAATAAGCGCATTAGAAACAAAACAAATCGCGGCCGTTGGATTGTCGGCAATCATGGCCGGTGAACACTCGTGAAACAAAGTTTGTAAAGGAAAAAGAATAATTTAAAATCATTGATCAAATCGATTTTATATTCTTTTGCTGATCTACCGTCAACTGCCACATCCGGTGCAGAAGTTGGTCCTCACCACGAGCGTTCCCTCTAATACCATATTTGCAACCGTCAGAAACGACATCACACACTTTTTAACCCCAGTAAAGAAAGCCGTTCCGTAAATCAGGGGG